TCCACAAGGAAAAAAGTATACTGAAATCACTGTTTACTAATATTTTGGCTTTCCCATGTATTATAAACATTTCTTTTTTTCCTGGAGTCAAACTCTGATGGGTGGCAGTCCCTAGCCTTCCTTCTCCCCTGCATCTCTCCTCACCTCCATTCCTCCTCAGCCCTCCCCCGACCCACCGGGTTCAGTTCCTTTCCTCTCCACCCCCTTCTCCACCCCCTCCGTCCTTATCTTCAACGTTTCTCCACAGCTCCTTCCCTCTCTCCTCCTCTCTCTTTACTCCAACCCTCCTCTCTCACTCCTCCACCTTTCTCTCTTTTCCTCTCACTTTCCTCCCCCTAAAACATGTCAAAAGTCATTTTTATCCCATCTTGGTTCATCTTGAGTAACGCACATCCGACTGAAGGACTAGGACAAGAAGAGTAGCTTATGCACAGTGGACTGGGACGTGACTTTCGATATCTGAGTCACAAAAATGAATTTAAGCCACTACATAATTGCAGAACTACCCCTCAAAAGAGCTGGGTATGATAACATCACAGGTGAAAACCGGGGATGGTAAAAAGTGGAGGAAGAGGAGGTGAGAAAGTTGCCCCTTGGATGCCTAGACCCAAGACCAGGTCTGGCAGTCAGTCTTGGGACATGTGCTGCTCTCCCGAGAATGCCTGCTCCCTAACTCCAAGGATTCTGGAATTATTTACCAGAAGGTGCCAGTCACTTGGCATGGCAGCTTGCTTAATCTTGTTGTTTACCATCAACCCATCAAAAACAAGTGAGCAGGCAATCATATTATGTACCAGCTGATTTTTGGTGGCCATCTTCAAAACCAGCTCCCTCAATTTTTTCAGCAGTGTAATCAAACCATGGGGATTTTTTTCCATATCACCACTATTAGATTTTTTTTCCTTTGGGCTGCACTGCATGGCATGTGAGCTCTTAGTTCCCAGACCAGGGATTGAACCCAAGAGCCCCCTGAAGTGGAAGCGGAGCCCTAACCACTAACCACTGGGCAACCGGAGAATTCCAATTTTCATTTTACTGTGAAGGCCTGAATGTCAATCTGCCTAGGAAAAAGGAATCCGGAGGGATTTTGTGCCAGGGGGAAAAAAAACCGTGGCCCCGGATTCTGATATAGAGACCTGCTTTGTTTTTTTCCTCCAAGGATAGGAGAAGTTGCAACAATAATTCTCCCTCTTTAGAGAAAGAGAGTGTCTGGCAGTGAGCACACTGCCCATTAACCATCCAAGCAGACAGGAAGGAAAGAAGAGCAGCCCAGCCAGGAGTCACAGAGTTTAACTTCAGGTTTGTTTGTCAATTTCTGGCTACAGTTGCAGTTTTTTCACCTCACTGATGAAAGGGAGATAGTATCACCCACATCACAGGGCTGGTATGAGGCCAAGAAATGCCTGGCACATAATAGGAGCTCAATAAACGCTGGCCCTCTGAGGCCCCGTGGAGACTTTGTTCCTCTTACCGAAAAAAGATTAATTTTGATCATCCCCAAGTTAACATCTGGTATGCAGCTAAATAGCAATAAACTCTTTGTCCAAAAACTTGTCATAAAGACTTACCTGGTGTAAGCCGTATTTTGAATTAGCAGGTGTATTTTCATGCCCCCCTTTTCCAGAAAAGCCCAAATATTTGGCCAATTTAACTTGAGTGCAACAACACACTTGAGTACAACAATACTTTCTTAATAGACACGAGATTCATTACTTTCAGAAAGCAAATTGAAGCTGCAAATGAATAACAACTATATTAAGCTAACATTTACGGAGTACTTACTATTTCCCAAGAACTGTGCTAAGCACTTCATATATATATATATATATACATATATGTGTGTGTGTGTGTATGTGTGTGTATACATATTTAAATACATTTATATCTCAGATGAACTTCTTTGCAAAGGAAAGAGTCACAGACGTAGAGAACAAACTTATGGTTACCGAAGGGGAGTGTGCTGAGTTGCTTCAGTCGTGTCTGACTCTTCGGGACCCCATGGACTGTAGCCCACCAGGCTCCTCTGTCCATGTGATCCTCCAGGGAAGTGTACTGGAGTGGACTGCCATGCCCTTCTCCAGGGAACCTTCCTGACCCAGGGATGGAACTCACATCTCTGATGTCTCCTGTACTGACACGTGGATTCTTTATCACTAGCGCCACCTGGGAAGCCCAAAGGGGAGTGGAATGTATTTGGGAGACTGGGATCAACATATATACACCACTATGTGTAAAACAGATAACTAATGAGAACCTACTACACAGCACAGGAAACGACTCCGTGCCCCGTGGTGACCTACATGGGAAGGAAATCTAAAAAAGAGTGGATACATGCATACATGTAACTGATTCACTTTTGCCGCACAGCAGAAACGAACAGCATTGTAAAGCAACTATATTCCAGTAAAATTTTTTAAAAAACAAAGAAGGAACACAGCCCCTGGATAACATCATAGAGCGAGCCACTCTACTCTCTAGTTAGACTTTCATGTACATAGAAAAATTCCTGTTGAAGTCTCTCTAAAGTCACCTCAACTATATTCTGGCTAATAGAGGAGGGTGTTAAGAGGTTTCCTAAAGGATAGTATTCTGTTAGTCGCTCAGTGGTGCCCGACTCTTTGCGACCCCGTGGACGGTAGCCCACCAAGCTCCTCTGTCCATGAGATTTTCCAGGCAAGGATACTGGAGTGGGTTGCCATTTCCTTCTCCAGAGGATCTTCCCAACCCAGGGATTGAACCCAGGTCTCCTGCACTGCAGGCAGATTCTTTACCAACTGAGCTAAAAGGGAAGCCCTCCTAAAGGATAGCATATCTTTAAAAACATCTTCAAGAAAATCAGTTAGCCTGGTGAAGGAGAGGGGTATATTGGTCAAGAGGGCCAGTTGCAAAAAGAAGGGTGCTTGGGGCAGACGAGACTACAGAGCCCAGGCAAAGAGGCCACGGTCCAAGGAGCTCTCAAACAGGAACAGAGGCCTGGAGACAGGGAGCTCAGGAAGATGAAGAAGTAGAATTCAGGATGAGGCTGCAAAGGCTGGTCAGATGCCCGAAAGACTTGAATGGTAGGTTAAGAACCTTGAACTTTTTTCACATAGGAATGCAGCGCTACTGAAGATCCTATCAAAGGAGGGATAGGATAGTGCCCTGGTGGCAGGATAGAAGGTGGGTGTTCAGGAGGCCAAGTCAAAGGCAAGAAGTGAAGCAGCCATCCAAATAAGGTGTGATCAGAGGACCCTGGTGGGCTGCCGTCTATGGGGTCACACAGAGCCGGACATGACTGACGCAACTTAGCAGCAGCAGCAGACTGTGATCTCCAGCAATGGCAGTGTAGAGAAGGTGGGACAGAATTAAGGTCTGTCACCCTAGGGGGCATAGAAGAGGGGGAGGTAAAACAGACTCTCAGACTTCTGGATTAGAGGAGAGGACCACAACCATGGCAGGAGGAAAACCATTTGGGGTGAGGAGGGAGATGACAGCTGTTCCAGAAACACTGAGTGAGACATCATCATTTGTGCCAAAGCTTGTCAGTAACAGCTATCCCCCGCCTAGAGCTTAAATAGGGTATCAGAAACAAGGATGCAGATTCCAGGGAGGGTGGGCATTTGTCTAGACACCCAGTGTCCGCAGACATCAATGGCCCAACATAGGACAGTAAGTGCTGGGAGAAAAAAAAGGAAGGGAAAAGGGAGGTAAAAATCAATCAAAATCACAGGAATGTGAAACACTAGTGCTTCTCTTCAGGCTCTTCTTGGTGGGGGTGGGGTGGGCAGAGAAACAAACGTGCACAAGACCTTTTAGGGAGAAATGGTGAATAACAAGGAGCTGAAACTATTACAAAAACTTAAAGCAAAACTTTTGTCCAAAATGACTCTTGTAACCTCTATGCTTTTATCAGTAATAAAATTTTATCAGTAATAAAAGCATATCCAAATGAAAATATATATATATATTTACATCTCATTTAATCCTAACAAACCTATAAGACAGATACTAAAATTATCCCCACTTTACACACGAAGAGACTAACACTAAGTAACTTAACCCAGGTGACATAGTAAAGGGCAGAGTTCAGTCACAGCCAAAACAGGATTTCTGGGCTTAAAATGATGAATACTGCCTTCTCTTATCAAACTAGTGCCTTCTCACATCTTCATATAGACCAGAAAGATTTCAAATATTCAAATGATAGAATTTCAGAAACCTCCCCATGATCTAAATCCCTTATCAGATTTTCAAAAGACCTCTTCTCATTGCTGTATTTCCCAGAAGAATCTAAACGCATCACAATATTCTAAAAGCAAAGTGGAGATTTAACAGACTGCTTCCCTGAACTTCTCTCTGCCGGTCTTTTAGTTATTTACATGTGTTTTCCCTGCCTCCTGTTCTTCTTAAGTAACAAATATTTTATGATCAGTCCATAATTATGAGTAGTCATATGGGAGAGACCAGAGAATGTCGTCAGAGACACCAAAGAGAGGAAAAAGACGTAGCAACGCTTCCAACTCAATTCACAAAAACTCCAAAATAATATAAAACGAAACAAACAAATTCCACGGATGACTTTCCTAGTGCTGAAATGGCACAAGAGCCGCCTCTCGCTGACAGAGGGCTGTCGCGGTGCAATCTGGTTTTCAAGAGTAAGAAATGTAGGGGACCTGCCTCCCCGCGCCCGCCTGCCCGATCCACCGCTGGGCAGGTTTTGAAGAAGGGAACAGAAGTGAGAATTTCCAGTTCAGAGGAGATAGGATCGCAGAGCCCGAGCTCCTTCAACGGCTAATGGCAAATGGTTTATAAAGGGGAAAAACGAAATCTAAGAAGTCTGCGCAGCAGTCCTTGCCGACTGAGAAGTGGGCGCCCAGTGGTAGGCTGGGGGAGGTTACTCGCGGTCGCTGGGTGGACGGTCCCTCGCCAGCTCATCTTCGCTGAAACGTCCGACCCGGGGCCCCGAAATAGGGCTGCGGGCAGTTCGAAAGCCGGCGGAGATCGCGGTCGTCACCCCTCACCCCCCGCTCCGGGCGAGGATGCTCGGGGCGCCGAGCCGCACCTGTGCCGCAAGGGACGACCTCGGCCCCCGAGCCCGCCGAGGTGATGCAGGGTCGGAGGAGAGCCCCCGGCAAAGTGCGCCCACCTGGCCTCGCGCACCCGCCGCTCCAGCAGCCGGAGCCCCCCGCCCGCAACCTCACCTCTCGCCGCCGCCTCCGCTTCCGTCGCCATCGCAGGAGCCACCCGGCCGGCTCCGCAGCCCCGGGCCCCGCAGCATGGAGAGCCCCGGGCCAGCGCTGAGCCGGCCCAGGCGGCCGCCCGGGTGCGGGGCGCAGGCACCCGCAGGGCTCTGCCCGGTGCCGCGGTGGCCCCACTGCAGCTCGGGGTTCAGGAGCGTGCGGCCGGGGGCCCGCCCGCTCGGGGGTCTAGTCGCCGCCGGGCCGGGGGCGGGAGAAAGGGACCGCGCGGGGCGGAGTTACGGCAGCCCCGCCCGCCGACCCCGGCGGAGGGAGGCGAAGCGAGGGGAGGCCCGCAGAGCAGCGCCTGGAGCCTCGCTGGAAGAGCGTCTGTCTAAAGCAGGTTTCCCCCATCACTTCCAGATTCGTTGTCTGGTGTTCTGCAGTGTGGAGTTGTTCCCCTTGTGTGCGGGGGGTGAGGTAGGGGGAGGTTGTTGTTCAATCTCTTAAGTCGTGTCCGACCCTTTGCGACCCCATGGACTGCAGCACGCCAGGCTTCCCTGTCCATCACCAACTCCTGGAGCTTGCTCAAACTCATGTCCATTGAGTCGGTGATGCCATCCAACCATCTCATCCTCTTNTACAGCATGCCAGGCTTCCCTGTCCATCACCAACTCCTGGAGCTTGCTCAAACTCATGTCCATTGAGTCGGTGATGCCATCCAACCATCTCATCCTCTGTCGTCCCCTACTCCTCCTGCCCTCATCTTTCCCAGCATCAAGGTCTCTTCTAACGAGTCGGCTCTTCGCATCAAGTAGCCAAAGTATTGGAGCTCGATCATCAGTCCTTCCAATGAATACTGAGGGTTGATTTCCTTTAGGATTGGCTGGTTTGATCTCCTTGAAGTCCCAGGGACCCTCAAGTCTTCTCCAGCACCACAGTTTCAAAGCGTCAGTTCTTCAGCGCTTAGCTTTCTTTATGGTCCAACTCTCACATCCATACATGAACACGGGAAAAACCATAGCTTTGCCTCTACGACCTTTGTCTGCAAACTGATGTCTCTGCTTTTGAATAAGCTATCTAGGTTTGTCATAGCTTTTGTTGGGGGGTGGGGAGGTAAAGAATGGATGAAGATCGTTTTGTGGTGAAAGTACAGAGCGAGGGCAGGAGTTCCGAGTGGGGGGGTTGGAAGGAGGACTTCCCTGGCGTCTTTCTTTTCTGCCATGGAACAGCTTGGCTGCAGAGATGAAGACACATTCACAGGGAGGAGTCCCCAAAGAAGCTATTTGGGGTCCTGAGACAGTTGGGTAAATCCAGAAGCGAGGTTCTTTGGGGACCACTGGTCAGCCCCTCATCATAGGCAGAGTGTGCTGGTTCGCTCCCTGCCCATAGGACCCTAGGGTTGCTTGGTCACAGTTTGTTTTGTAGTGGAGGGAAGGAATGGCGGAGAAAACACCAAAGCTCTGCATCAACCAGCCTACAACTAATAACTTTTCCTTCGGGACTCTCCATTACAGCGTCGTAACTAGCTGCTTTGGGTGTCCTGAGAGCTACTCAGGACAAGGGAGTTGGACGCGTGTTCCCAAGGGAAGTAGGCAGACCCAGAGAAACTGATGCAGCCCTAAGTGTGTCCCGGACTTTATCCTGCTGGAGGTGGCAAGAGATGCTGCCCTGGATAACACACAACGAGACACATTCCTAGTCAAAAACCATCGTTGAGACATCCCAGTCCTGGCTTTGACTTGGAACTCCACCCGAAGTCCATCGACACCAAAGTGTGCTGTCGGCTCAGAAAGAAAAATTCCGCAGAGAGCCTGGCAGACGCTCTTAAGATCTGGCCTAGGTTTCCCTGAATATGCTCAAACCCTGGCTTTCCAGACAAGTGTACACTGTTTTGAGGTGGTTTACCAAGTCTTGGGGACAAAGGGGGTACTCTTAGGCTGCACATGTGTTCAATGCCACCTTGATGGTGAAGCAGAATTTCTAGGATCCTGGTCAAAAAGTACACGGGCTTCCCTGGCGGCTCAGTGGTAAAGAATCTGCTTGCAGTTTGGGAGATGCAGATTGGATCCCCGGATTTGGAAGATCCCTTGGAGAAGGAAATGGCAACCCATTCCAGTATTCTTGCCTGGGAAATCCCATGGACAGAGGAGTGCACAGGCTTCAGTTCATGGTGTCTCAAAGAACTGGACACAGTTTAGCGACTGAGCCCTAACGGACAAGCTACGTACACGCTGTCTTGCTTACCAAGTGTCTTTCCCTTTATCATCTCAGGTGAGCTTCACAACAACCTTTGTGAGGTGGTTGAACACCTATAATTCTTGTCTTCTCAGTAGGCAAACAGAGGTTCAGAGATGAGTGTTTTGGCCAGAATCACTCAGTATACAGTAGAAGCCAGATGGTGAAAGTCAGATCTCCTCAGGGGTTCGTACATGGTATGATAAGCTCGTTGGTGAATCACCATAGTCCTCATTTCTTAGAAATGATGATTCACTTCCACCAAAAGCCTGAGAGCAAGAGCCAGGAATCCAGTACCTAAATGTGATGCCAGACGTGTAATACACAACAGAGCAGACACACAGGATTCCTTGGGGCAAATCATTCTCATAGTTTAATGTGTTTCCCCAATTGTTCACATTTAAACTCTGCTTTCAACTTTTTCTTTAAACTCTGGAGCTTTACTTTCTAAGATTTTTTTTTTTTTTTTAGAGTGGTTATATTATACCTCCTAGGATAAGGCAGAGATAGTCACACGATATCTTGACAGATGGATAGGAAATTCATCTCTCCTTTCTAACTAGTGGTCTTTTCATATTTTCTCCTTGAGCAAAATGTAAGAAAGTGATTTGAAACATAACTTGCAGAGTGCATGGAATAGTTCCTTCCAGTCAATGTGGTTTCCTTCCCCAAAGCCCAGGAACAACTTTGCTTTCAGGGACCATTGCTAATCTTAGGGGGGATTTAGTTTGTTCAGTAATTTCTTTCACTGCCAAATACTCAGGCAAGAACAAGACTGACATTAGGAACCACTGCATCGTACTATAAATTCCTATTCTTGTCAACCTCCTGCTGGGGTTGTAACAATCCAATTTTGTATGAAGGACCCTTTAAGTTCACATAGATATGTCAGTTTGTCCAGGACAAAAAAAAATCACCTGCTTCAGAGTATAGTTAAATTGAAGATCCCCATCTCCAGTGACGTATAAAAATAAATAACTGCCCATTAATAAGCTCCTAAGTGACTGAGGAAATAATTAAATTATTAATATTTAAAACTACTCTTTCTTCCCCATCACTCCTCCACCCCTGACATTCCATGGAGGGTGAATACTGGGGAAGATTCTTGGATTTGCTGAGCAGGTTGATGAGTGGGAATGCAGTTAGGAGAAACAGGGGGGCACAAATGTATTCTGAGGGATAGAGAAGGCTTTAGCGGGCTTCTGGAATGGGAGAAATCAGCTTGAGCTTGGCCCATGGAGGTGAGACGCAGAGACGGTAACTGCAGGAGGGTATACTCATGAGAAAGAGCGGAAGTGATGGTGGCTGCTGCCACTGGGAGTGGAAATTTGAGAGTATTTTTAAAGGGTATTTAGGAAGCTTCATTGTGTAATGCAAACCCGCTTACATTATTTCCCTGGAAAATAACAACTTTAGCAAAGGCTATAGTTTGTTTCAATGCTTTTGGAGTTGATTTATGTATTTATTAAACATGAAAACATTTTGAGATTGGCCTTAGAGGGGGAGTAGGGCTGCTCACAAAATGCAGTTATTCATTTGTTAACAAATGCTTGTAGAGTGTCTACACTGTGCCAAGCATGGCTGTAAGCACCGAATGCTGTACATCACCAACTGGACATCCATTACTTCATATAGATGTTTTCATAACAATTGGTGAGGAAGGTATTATTTCATTGTAGAAAAGTCCAATCAGTGTCCTTTTTCCTTTAGCTCAGTAGAAGTTCAGACCCACCCCAGAAACTCTGACTTAGTTAAGTCTGGGGTGAGACACACTAAATATTTATTCAAGTAAATATCCTAGTTGATTTTGAAATAGTTGCTCCAAGTACTCTACTTCAGGAAATAGTGCTTCCACTAGCCAAAAAGGAATTTTCTTAAGCCTAGGTTGTTGCAAAGGAGAAGTTGTGTGTGTGTGTGTGTGTGTGTGTGTGTGTGTGTGTGTGTATTTCTATAAGCCAGAGGACAGAAGTAGCAATAAACTAAAATTCCAAGAAAAATACAGGGAGACCAAAACTTAGAACAAGAGGGAATAGTTTAGAGACATCTCTTTATATATGGAGCTACTGCCTCTTTTTTCCTTAGAGATTATGTATTTGTATATGTAAGTGTCAAAAACTGAAGTAATTTTTACTTTTGGAGGTTTTGGACAGTCTTACAACATGTATGATGCCCTAGACCCTCCTCAGTCCTCCACTATATAGAACCATACTGGAGGAGTTTTCAAGTTCTGTCCATGATTAACTTACCTAAGAGGACAGGAAAGACAGAGGACAATCTCCCTTTCCTGTTATGTATTTCTCCTTTGGCAGAGGCTTATAAGTCATCTCAACATTTAAGGATTTGCTAAGGAATGCTTTAGAATGAACAGTGATAACTTTGTAATGGTTGTTAGCACAACCTTCTGAGAAATGTTTTGATTTCTACTAATCAAACCCTATCTTCTCAAGTTAGACAAAGCAGTTGAGCCACTAGTGATGAGGCCAGTCATTAGGCCCACCCTTGCCTGGATCTTAAGGGGAAGTAAGTAGATGAGGATCCCTGTGACTGGTATAACAGCTTTGTGGGAGATGGACCCGTGAGGAGATGAATGGCAGCTGGAAGCCTTGGCAGTACCACTAAAACGACCACACCCTGGTCACTGGGCCAAACATCCATTGTTTCTATGATGTTCCCCCACTCCTTCTCTGAAGGACAAGCAACCTAGGCTTGTAGGTAGCTGAGCCATGGTCTAGCACAGTGGTCCTCAGTACTCCTATTTCACATGGGTCAGAAAAGATGTTAATGGACCAGCCCTTCAGTTCACATGTAGGCAATGGCAGAATCAGTAACAAAACCCAAGGGCAGTGGCTTCAGCAAGAACCATTGGTATAAAGCAGTGTGGCACCCTTTCGATTATCTTGGGGGTTAAGTCCAATTTGGTTCTGGTGTCAGGTGGCCATGTGCTTTAGGGGAGCCTCACTCTGTACCAAGGATGTGAAGCCTGCTTAGTTTAAATCAATCCACAGACCAGGTACTATTGTAGGAATGAATGGATGGCATAATCAAGGCCAACAAAATGGGGTTGGGGGGCAGGGTTCTTTGCCTAGAATGCTTCTGGAGAAGATTTTTCTTACTCTTAAAAAGAGGATGAACAATCTTCTTTTTAAAGACTTGTATGATGATTCAGTGCTTAAAGTCCCTGTGGCCATTCAGCCCTCTGAGAAAACAAGCCCAAGGACATCCAACACTCTGCTGATGACAATGTAGAAAACTAGGAAGAATCTCTGTTCTTGAAGACATTTTTGCGATGCTAACTTTACTATGGATGGTTCCCATCTTGTGTCTTAGTTTTATACAAGATACTCATTTTCCTTATTTTTGCATTTTTACTTGCATCTGATACTTGCAGTCAAAAGCACCCAAAAAGCCAATTGATCACTGGCTTCCCATGTGTTTTTCTGAGGTCTAGAAGCATATCAGATAATTTGTCAAGGAAGTGTGCTCTGTGATCTGGGCAGTGGAAGGAGCCCCAGACTTAGTTCAAGAGCAATCTATTACCTGAGTTTGGGTAATTCACACTCAGCTTCATGTTCATCATCTGTAAAATATGAGTAATTATGTTTATGTCACAGAGTAGTAGTAAAAACCAAAATGAGTAAGCTAAGTGAAAGCATTTTGTAAAGCAATGGAAGTTCTTTTAACAAGATGCTTTTGAAAGATTAGTGTAGAATATCAAAGTTGGCTCCGAAGTCCAAATTTTGATATTCAGTGTTTTCACCATTTTATCTTAACAGCAGCATTACTAAAATGATGTCAGTCAGGGAACAGTTGGAAGCACAGCTAGGATAAAGAGGATTCTGACTGGCTCCCTCTGAGACTGGCAGAAACAGTGTCATGATCAACGATCAGTGTCTCCAGTGGGACAGATGGAGTAGTACCTGGGTACCCAGGGCACGTATATCCCTAGTCTCCATTGCTACTTTGAGACATTTTTTCATTTCTACCTGCTAATTGATTTTGGCCTAGTGGGGTAGCTGCATATAAACCTGTACAACTATCTTGAGTGTTTAAACATAAGACAATTGAAACTTAAAATATTTATCCAGTATGTTGTTCTTGATGTGATCTTTAGGGTAAAAGTTGGATCCATTTACAAAGCAGGCTTATTTGAGGTTTGGGTAACATCTGTCTCAAAATTCAAAAATATAACCAAAAAACCTCACCAACAAAAATATTGTAAACATAGTTTTTATTCTTTTCTTACCTTCAATGAAAAGTGCATGATGCCACCAAAACATTTCTTTGAAACTCAGTAGCTGAACATAGAACTCAATAGCCTGGTGATTATTTTTCAGACAAATGCTGAATAATTTATATTGCTTTAAAAATAACTAACATCTATTTTTATTACTTCAGTCCTTTTTAAAGTAGCAATATTACTGTCATTTTTTTTCATAAAAATCTAAAATATCTCTAATAGTCCTAAGTGTATTGTATTTATATTTGTTCCAAGTGTTTGTTTCATTAAAATGTTCCAGAGATAAGTGCACTTCTACAGAGAAAATAAAATTTAAATCAAGACAAGGGGAAATATTCATGGTTGTAGCAAAATAGTTATTTTGAATGTTCTGACTCTTAGCAATTCAAAGAGAGAATAGAATGTGTTTTGTAGGCAGGGACATCTCTATTGATTAAAATTTCAATCAATTTCTTTGCAGATCATTGATAGATGAATAGCTGTTTCTCCTACCAGTAGATACTGCTGGGTTGATTGTCTAAAGGTTTTCTACAATAAAATACCAAAAATAAGTGTACTTAAACATACTGTAAGAGTTACAGATCTACACAAAGATAACAGGTGTTTAAAAAAACAGAAAAAGTATATTATTACAGAAATAAATGAGACCCTATCTTAACCCTAAGCAACCAGTTTTGAATATTCCATACTTGTTATTTTCCATTCAACTAATAGCTTATTAAATCAGATATATATTCCATTCAGTAAAGGTTGATAATAAATTTCCTATTCTCAGATAGCACTATGCTTCAATAAATTTAAATATTTAAAGCTATGTTAAGAAGAAAAGCATAAAAGAAAAAAAAACATAACTTGCTTTAATACAAAGGTTTTTTAATAAAAAAAGTCAAAGTCTACATTAAATCAGGAAATCAACAAATCTGAATTATACAAGCTTTCTATACACTTAGAAAAACCAAAAACACACAGTTTATAACAAAACTCTTTAATTCAAAATAGAGTCTAATTTAAAGAAAATGTCATTATGCTCTGTCGATTAGATAGGGTTTTGTCATTTAAATTAAATGGTTCACCTGAAATATGGGAAGTATATAATAGAGAAAATTCAAGCTCAAGGGTACTTTGCAAATTATCTAGCTAATTTGCTTTATGAATCAAATTCTTAGCTTCCAAAGGGCAGACACAGTCTTTAATTGCTTTTAGATAGGCACTTAAGAAATGCTTTTGATGAGGAGGGAACCCCAAAGATTATGAATCACTCAACTCCAGGGAAAGATGAGTAGCTTAACAAGGTAAACTTTCATAACTGCCCTTCTGCTGCCAAGAAACCATAACTATCCCCAAGTTCTTCCTATTAATAAGAATGAAGGAAATGGAAACTAAAATGCTCTATTCTTATTCAGTTAAAAGGTAAACCTAGGTAATTCAGCTCCTTTATATCAATCTCTCTCTCACTTGAATTAATGAAAGTTTTTAATACTAGAATAGTTACCATAGTAGAACCAGAGTATGTTGCAATTTCCTTGTATCTTACCCATTCACACTAGCAAAACATCCTTTTTAAAAAAACAGTGGGGGAGGGGGGATGAGAAAAATCTCATAAAACTAAATGTAAGTTAGAGAGTTTTTAAAATTAGAGGCAGTTGTAATTAGAAAAACAAGAGCTAGGCAAAAGGAGATAACCCCAAAATTTTAATAGTTCTCTCTCCTAGATACTTGGTCACATAAGAAAAATGGAGATGAACTAGTAGGTGAACACATAATAAGTATCAAACAAATACTAGGAGGGAAAAGGGAGGGAGGAAGGAAGCAAAGTGGGGGGAGGGAAAGGAAGGAAAGGGAAGAAAGGGAAGGGGAGAACAGGGCAGGAAGAAAAAAAGAACAGAATGGCCTTATTGGAACACCATGGAGCTCCCTAGCAAGCAGGAACATTTATAAAAGCTTTTGTAGATCTGCATAATGGTCCTATGCAATTCTTCCCCACTAGAAGAACATCTATACAAATAAATTATCATTTTAGATTCTGATCACAGATCATTCATAACAGTGATAACTGTTGTATCTAAAAAAGAAATTCTACTAATTAACAGTTAAGACAAACATTAGGCCATTCTTTGATAAATTAATACTCCTCCACTATTACTAATGAAGCCAAAAACTCAGAGAGTTATTTTAAAATGAAAATGTTGAGCTGGAAAAGACTATCTCATTCTTAGGAGAATACCCAAAGAATTTGCTGCTGACATCACCTCCCCCATCCTCTAATCACAAGCCCCCTGGCCTGCATTTACTTCCTTAATTCCATTTACAGTAACCACAGTGATGGAGCTAAACATGAACAGTAGGGCCCTTGAATGAGCTAGCCTCCATCAAAGATCTGAAGACAGCATTCCCGCAGGACAGTAAAATCCCCCATAGTTGTGAACATCCACTCTGTTCAGGATCTTTGGTACATTTGGAGTATAAGAAAATAATGGCACAATAATACAGTACTATCAAAGGAAAAATTTTCATCAAAACAAATAAAAGTTAACCAGCCATGATATGTAACAACTTTCTAGAAAACCAAAGTAAATAGATCTTTGTTCTCTACAAGTTCATTTACATGATCAGAAGTTTGACGTTTAAAAAAATAGTTTAATAAAAATACACTAGTAGTTCTACAAGCAGCCTTCATGGTCATTTCTTCAATTCAACTCACCATAATCAAATTAAAATAATGCCATGTCCTCTTATTAAAAAAGAAGTCCTCTTGTCACAAGAAAAGCAACTTTACATTTTATATGATACAGTACATCTCCCTATAAGTATACAGAATACATGTATAAAGGTCATCAGTATTTCTGAATGCAAAGTAAATATATTAGTGGAGTGCTTGAGTGAAGCTGTTCAACTTTCTCCTTATTCAAAAGTTGTTACTCCCTACTGTGGAGTTTGTGTAGTAACATGATGATAAACTTTATTTTTTAAATAACCCAGTGTATTTCCTTTTTAAAATGCCTTAAAACCATTACAGAAATTGTCCTCATATATGTTCTATAGATGTCCAAACCAATAGGGCAAGTATTCTAATACCAGCTATGGAAGATGGCTTTTATTGATTATCTAGACCCATAAGGTGTGCAGTAAAACAGCCAATGCTGCAGTGTTACCTACAGGTTAGCCTATGTTGCTTTAAATGATATGTGTTTCTCCTGAATTGATTAGAGGTGTTACAGTACAAAGCCACGGCACACACAGGCGGAATGGACCTTAATACGCGTGTAGGCAGTGCAGTTAGAAAGGGATGTACATTTCTTTTATTCCAGTACCTTCATATAATAAAGTTAACAAAAATAATATTAAAAAAAGAAAAAAGCCAGCTGGCACTGCCAACCAATTCCTGTAGTAGTCTTCGAAATCCTAACCCTGTAGAATTTCCTCTTGTAGTCAGAAGCACCACCGTCATCAGGAGTATTTCAGTGTATTGTTATCTACGCCAAGCAAGCCTGGTGATGCGGCTACCTGAGTTCTCTTGGTTGTGAGCCAACGTGATCTTCGTTCATAATTTCCCAGCCTTCATGTAGGTGGGGATGGAGCCACGCTGAGTCAACCCTTCAAATCTTTTATAGGTATAATTGAGAAAAACCCAGTCTTTGGATTTGTAGTCTGGTTCCGTGGTGTTTGGCACTGGAAAGATAGAAAAATTAACCAAGACCAAAGGAATTTCATTAATGAAATATGTTATCACTTTCATAGTCTTTTAAATGTGGTTAACCGTAAGAATATCTTACCTGGTTGTAAAATATCAGATTCAGGAAAGTCATCGAAATTTGATGTATCGTCAATGCTTTTGATTTCTATAGGGATTGCTGCTGGCCTTTCCCTGTAAAATAGTATTCAGTAACCATGGTTAAGTTTTCTTGAACTCAGTTTTCCAAAGCTTAATTCTACTTGCAAATTCTGCATGCTATTCTATAGATATTAGAAGAGCCAAGGAAATTTATTATGGATCTGAAATTTCTGAAGTTAAGTGGATTTCATAGCTGAGTAGAATTTTCTTATTAAAATATTATCATTTACTTGGAATTTTATTTCTTTATATCAAGACTTTCTTATGCTTTTTTTTTTTTAAGAAGAATAAGAATAGTTAATGAAAGGGAAAGGAGAACAGAGAATTTTATTTAAAAAATTTTATCATTCTATAAAGTACCCTAAACATTGTGGAGACCAGAATCCAACCTAATTAATTTAGGAATAGAATTCTTCTAGTAGAGGATCCACCACTTGATAAATCAAGTCAATTGGAAAAATAAGGGGCTCAAACGGTGAAGGGACTACATGTTTGTGATGAAATCTGAATCCAAAAACTTCTCAGTCATATAAATTTTAAGGGAACTGGGGTCATTAGGTTAAAAAAATAGTAAGTCATGAAAATGTTTTTGTATCATGCTAAAAATAGTTTAGGAAATTCATCAATTTTTATTGCTTCTATTTTTTCAGCAAGTACTTATTGATCGATTAGGTGATAAGTGTACAAAATTGTGTAAAAACACATTTATATTTTCCCCAGAATTATTCTAACCTATTTACACTTAATGTACTAACTTAATAAATTTATATTACTTCAGTGTAAAAAAAATATAAACTCTGGTGCCCTGAGATCTAATCTCTAGTAATTAATTATTAGAATGACCTTAGACATTGTGACTCTTCCCTCATATAAAACCAGGAGACTGGACTGGTAGTCTATAAGCATTCTTTCAACTGTAACAAGGGGGAATCATGTAATAGTTTTGCTTAATGAGATGACACATGGACAGTAAAATACAGTGTGGCAGTTCAGAGTCAGGACTCCGGAATCACACTGCCTGGATTCAGTTCTAGCCAGATCACTTACTAGCTGAGGCACCAGTAAGGCAAATTACTTCTCTGAGACTTAGTTTTCTCATTTGTAAAATGGGGATAATACTAAGGCTTATTATGAGGATAAGATGAGAAATGTACATAAAGTACTTACAACAGGGCTGGACATATAATAAACAGCCCCCCAAATATACCTACTCCAGAATCAGGTAGAGTGTCTAGCACATGGTAGGAGCTCCAGTGAAGGGACACTTAGCTGTCTTGAAAGTGGAAAGGGGGGCTGGCGAGCCTAGGTGAGGCAGGACTGAGGGCAGGGAGGCCAGAGAGGTGAAGAGCATTTTTGTCAAAATGAAGAGCTAATGACAATGCCCTAGGGTGGAAGGAGTGGGGCAGAAACCACACAAGATGCAGCTTCTACAGATGAGGCAAGAATCACATCCCAAGATCCTGAAAAGCAGGGAAGGACCCTTAGTATCACTCTCTAAGTGCAAAGAGAAGGAAGGAAATGGCACAATCAGATTTGTTTCTGAACTGCTGCTGTGCGGGGGAGAGATCAGAACTGCTGAAGACAGTTTGGCCACAAAATGAATAAAGGCCAATGCTCACAACAAACAACTCTAAACCAGTTCTTCAAAGTTACCTGCATTATTTAACTTCTCTCACAATGCGGGAGACCTAGGTTCTATCCCTGGGTTGGGAAGATATCCTGGAGAAGGGAAAGGTTACCCAGTCCAGTATTCTGGCCTGGAGAATTCCATGGACTGTATAGTGCATGGGTTTGCAAAGAGTTGGAAACGACTGAGTGACTTTCACTTTCACACTGTTTCTAAGAGGGACTGTATATTCTTCAAAATTAATAAAAGAGACACAGTACAGAATATGAGAGGACAAAAATAGTTATACACTGTTAAATGTAATTACATCTTTGTTGCACTAACAGCCTTCATCATGTAACTTTGCATGTCAAAATCTAAACAGGGCCACAGTATGTGGTTATTTCTTAAAGTGGATGTTACATAAAACGAGTCATTCAGCTATAGCCACTACAGTCTCACGCATTTATATCATCCAGAAAACACAAACTTATCACATGACCACAATGTTACCTCTTGTATTTAATCCATCAGAATCAGAGATAAATTAATCACCAAATCTAGTAGAAAGTTTTCACTCACACGGCCTTATCCCACTCAAAGCCTGTAAATATACCTGATGTGCCCCCAGTCGACACCTTCAAAAAAAGGATGACTTTTTATTTCTTCTACTCCACTATTCCCAATTCTATTTTCAGAATCAATACAAAACCTAGAATATGGAAACAGAGAAATTATAATATGCAGACTACATCTCAAGTACTCTGCATTATTTCAAACATTTAATCTTTTTTTTCTGTTTACTGAAGTTAACTCTACTGTGAGAAATATGAGGAAAAATAGAAATCGTCTATAACTGCATTATTCAGATATAACTATTGCAAACAGTTTGAGACCACTTCCTTCCAGTCTTTTACTGTAATTTCAAAACTATGGTGTTGATAAGGAGTTTCCATTATTGTTTTTTTTCACTTAACATACTGAGAACATTTCCCAAAGTCATTCAACTATTTTTCTATACATTTGTTTTCTAAAGTAGTGGAAACACTACAATTTATTTAGCTAGTCCACCACTGCCAGACATTTAGATGATTTTCAATTTTTCATTACTAAAAACAGTATCAAGATAACATAATATACCCAAAATCTTTACACACATCTGATTATCTGCATATGCAAAATTCCTAGAAGTAGAATTACTGGGTCAAAGGTCAAAGACAGTTTGAAGATTTTTTTTTTTTAATAGGATGCTACCAACTGGCTGTTCCCAATTCATATTCCTTCTAGGAATCCACAAGAGAACCTAAACACTTCATCTTAGTTGAGAAGAAGAATGGACTCCTTTGCTTAGAAAAGGTTTCATACATAGACTTTTTTTTTTAATGGAGGCTAATTACTTTACAATATTGTGGTGGCTTTTGCCATACATTCACATGAATCAGCCATNCCATTCATCCATTTATAATAAAATGGCTTATAAAGTCAACAAAATAAAGGATTTAAAGCATTGCCCCTCTTTCACCTAAAAGGTCACGCAGATACAATTTAGATACCTGGGAATTCTGGTTAAATGCCCCCTTCCTGACACAGGATCCCTAGAGAGCTCACTGATATTTATCATTGTGTATTTAACATTGGGGGATGCAAGAAATCAGCTTAAAGAGTTCAGATATTTTAGCCCATAATATCTACAGTATGTTCAGTCAGTGGCACTGATTTATATGGTATGTGCATAAATGAATAATAAAACATACCTATTAGCATTTCATACATAATTACTCCCAAAGACCACCAGTCACACAATTTGTTGTAACCAGTCTGCATGAATACTTCCGGAGCAATGTAATCTGGTGTCCCAACTGTTGAATATGCCTGCAAAGAAACAGCTTATCAAACCAGTGTGTCCTCAATATATATATAAAAATATATATATATACACATATTTTTTTTTTTAAAGATCTGAGTATGGCTCACTACTGGAAAAACTAAAATATACAGAAGTTAATTTTGAATCTGTGTTTTGCATTTTATCATGTGTAAGGCTTAGTGACAGGCATGGAATCAGATAATATGTTAAGACATGATTTCTGTCCCTAAAGAGCTCAACTATTTATGTATTCAGTCCTACATCCAGTCCAAAAAACAATAAAAAGGTTGTGTTCAGTCGGCCTGGCTTCTCCACTCAATACTCGCTCTCGGGCAAGTTATTCAGCCTTTTTGAACCTCAACTTCTGCTTACATAAAACTGGACTAATAATTCCTGCCCTAACAGAATGGGTACAAGGATGAAACAAGCAAAGGAATATGTCTGTAAACCACAGCCTCCCATATAAACATCAGGTATTTTCATTATAAACTCATTTCCAGGGCACTGCTTATCTATTAGAAAGCAATGCAGGTTTTCATTCTGAATTCCTATAAAACCTTACAAAAACTTTCTTTAAGGCAGCAATTTTCTATTACAGGTAGTACTCTAGGGGCCATCTGAAAATGTGTAACAGCAGATTTTGACATTCTGTGATCTGGGGAAGGACATGATTGGCATTTAGTGGTGGGGGATGTAGGCTCTAAAGGAATTTCCTGCCCCAAACACCAAGAGTCCGCTCTATTTCTTCACTGGAAAACACTGATGTAAGTCATGATGATGGTCACAAGAACAGTAAAACCTGCACATGAGTAATGATTGTGAATACCCTGTAGTTTGGGGGTACAGAATTTCCACCATAGTTTTAGGCAGTATTCATATTTCCCTTTAAAAGTGGGAAATACGGCAATTCTTTTCTCAATTATAAAATCTGATCTAAAAGTGGCACACTTAGAAGTAGAAGGAATATTCTGTCATTAATGCAGAACTCAAAACATTAAAAAAATATTTTTGAAAACTTTAAAACACCAAAATGTTTTACAAGCACAAAAAGTTTACTTGGGCTAATGAGAGAATGAGTTCAATAATGCAAAGGTCATTTTATTTGCTTTGAGAGGGTACCAGACTCTTGCCTTTCAGTCTGTTTCCCTTCCTGAGGGACTGCTGAGTAAGTTTCTCTTCATCGCTTGGCAGAATCTAACAAATATTTATAGATATCTGTCGATATGCTCCAGGCATTATACAAGAAGTGAGGAAATTAAAGTCAAAAGGCACATTCGTAACCTTGACAATGTTCACAGGATAAAAGGAAAGAGGAAAAGGGACAAATGATTCTAATATTTGCTAAATAATGGAGGAGAAAGCTTGTAGGGTTAAAAACAGACAGTGCTGTTGGGCATTAAAGGAGTTATTAAGTTTATTTGCGGTAAAGTCTGCTTTTCAATTCTATTTTATTGTAACACTATTAACATAACAACAAACCTTATGTTTACTTTGTCTATAAAGTTTTTAGAAACACACAATAACCTTACTTATGCTGACTGATATTTGTTGTATCAGGACAGGAACAGAAAATGGAAACATGAAAATCACTCAGCATTTACTACAATTTACACTCATCTCCCTGGTGGTGCTAGCAGTAAAGAAACCCGCCTGCCAAGGCAAGTAGATGCAAAGGACACAGGTTCGATTCCTGGGTTGGGAGATCCCCTGGAGGAGGGCACGGCAACCCACTCCAGTACTGGAGAATCCCATGGACAGAGGAGCCTGGCAGGCTACAGTCTATATGGTTGCACAGAGCAACTAAGTCAAGAGCACTAAGCAGTAAGTCAAGACAAAAGCACTAAGTCAAGACTGAACTGACTTAGCATGCACACACACGCATCTCGGTGAGTTTTATAGAAAGTGTTAGTACTGGTAAACAGACAAATACATAATTATAGATATGCTTGATAAAATACTCTGAAGCGAAATCATAAAATATAAAAGTGGCATTTTCCTTACAGGCACGGAAATGTTACAGAAAAATTAAGAAAGCTATACTATTTCAGAACAAGCTCTATCACTGCTAGGAAGTAAGAACTAATTATTGTGAAGCTCTAAATTATAAAACAAATACCAAATGAGATTTTAGGACCAGGGCACAAAATTCTTTCTTCCAAATGTGGCTACTTACCAGTTGTCTCCTATTTTTCTTCCATGTTTCTGCTTTCCTCTTTGAGTTCATGTTCTGGAATGCTAATTTCAATAAGACAGAATTGTAATTATGAGGGGAAAACTTACCAAAACACAAATTCACATACATGCGTTGAAAACACACCAGTTTAAGGGTTGAGGAGAAGGAGAGAAGCTTCAGTTCTCAATAGTCCTGGATTAAACCAGCTGGACTACTTTAACTTGAAAAAAAAATCCAACTTACAGAAGTCACTTGGTGGGTTGTGGGTAAGATTTCTGTAGAATTCAGTCCTATGAGCCTTCTTTAATCCCGTGCACAAACCAAAATCAGATAATTTTACATGACCCTAAGGAAAAAAGGAAAAAACCTCATAAAATCATTAGAGACAAAGGGTTTATTTAAAACTCTTCTTCTAAATGCAATCATAAAAATTCTTAGCTTAGAACTCCTACAGGTGAAGTGCAAAATTACCAATATTTGATGTTGATTATTTTAAGAAGGAGAAAATGGAAGATGATAAAAAGACAGCCAATTTTCCCTTGAGGTCATTTCACTTCAAGGGCTCTCTCCTATTGCACCAGTTTATGAAATAATGTAGGTTAGCAGTCATATAAATTGCAGTTGCCCATTTCCAATCACAAAATCACCTCTATTACAGCATAAAACAGTGACCTAGTAATTCACCAGTTTATTCACATGCCTTGGCATCTAACAAAAGGTTGTCTGGTTTAATATCCCGATGGATGAAACCCAACTGGTGGATCGCATCTATTGCCAGAACAGTCTCTGAAATGTAGAACTGTGTTTCCTCTTCTGTCAAAGTGTCCTTCTTCATTAGCAATGTCATCATGTCACCTAAGTAAATGAGAGTAAGTACCCTGTATTAGTAACGCCTCAAAAGAGGGAATGTTTTGTAAAAGATGTCTTTGTAATATACAACTTAAGCCTCATTTCTGCATTTTATGATCTACCCAGAGTACTTCCAACCATCTCTAGGGCCAAATAAAAAGTCTCATTGCATAAGGAAAAGTTTCATGACATGTAATAGTTTTAAGGTAGAAAGTATCTGAAATCAAATCATAGCAGAACTGATAATGATGTAGTATCTACCACTCAACATCCAGAAATAAGTTGCTGAGGAAAATATATCAAACTGGGAAAATGAATGCGTGTAAGCACATCTGGAAATGGGATATATCCTTTCAAATTTAAGTTTCAAAAGCACTCAGCACTCTTTGGGCTAACAAAGGTAAGTCATTATCCCACCAAAAGGGTCACTTCTAGGCATTCTTGTTCCCAAGAAATCTTGCTCTTTTACAAGGGACAAAGAAGAAACACTCGTAAATTTACAACTCAGAATTGACAACTGCTAATATTTTTTCATGATGCTTCAAGTCTTAAAAAAAAAAAAACCACACAGATTCTTTATCCTCTGTTTCCATTCTAGTCCCCTTCCTCTTTTTGCTGAGTCGCCATTATCATGGATTTGCTTTGGTGTGTGTTCTTCCAGCTTATTTTTGAAATGTTTTCAGATGCATATATATTAATCTATGAATTCAGAGTCCTTTTTTATGGTTCTTAAAATTACATAAGTGATATCAACTGTACATATAATTCCACAGCTTGCTTTATTTCTCTTGGTTTCTGAGATCTTACTGTTGAATCAAATACAGCTCCTGACTTTTAACTACTGTAAAATACTTCATGACATAATTATGCCATGTTTTACTTATCCATTCTTCTACTGATGGACAGTCATCTTGCATCTAGGGTTTCACTCTTATGACAATGCTGCCATGAGGCCTCTTGTGCACATGTGGGGAAGAACCCCTGACTGTAGGACACACGCCTCTTTAACTTTCCTGGCATCTCTGAACTGCTCTCCCTAAGAGTCAGAGATTCTTCTGCACAGATGAGAGGCCAGGTTTCCCCCACAATCAGACTATTAATGTTTCTACCAATCAGATGGTTGAGTGTGAAATGGAATCTCATTCTTGTTTTAATTTGCATTTCCCTGAATATGAGTAAAGCTGAACGATTTCTTATCTATTTGTGGACCAACCAGAGTTCTCTTCCTCACCCCACCTATCATTTGCCTACTGGGCTGTCTGTCTTCTTCTTTGGGGACTTGTTCTCAACTCTAGACTTGCAAAGATCTAAAAAAGTATATATATTAAACAGAATGATAATATTAAAAATGTGCCAGCTTTATAATTTCTTCAAAACAATCTGATTTGTGGTTCAAATTAGTATTATTATGGGAGGAATGATTAGAAAATTATGACTGTGTAAAACCTCAGAGCCAGAAGTATGAAATATCCCTAGCTTACTGACTTATATAATAAATAAAATCATAGCTAGATATAAAGATATGCTTGTGTTGGCCTGTCATTGCTATTACATTTGCTTTTACCTCCAGGGAGAAATTCCATGATTAGATAAAGGTTCCTCTTGTCTTGAAAACTGTAAAACATCTTCACCACCCAGGCACCATCTGCTTCTACCAAAATATCTCTTTCTATTTCTTATCTATTTGTGGACCAACCAGAGTTCTCTTCCTCACCCCACCTATCATTTGCCTACTGGGCTGTCTGTCTTCTTCTTTGGGGACTTGTTCTCAACTCTAGACTTGCAAAGATCTAAAAAAGTATATATATTAAACAGAATGATAATATTAAAAATGTGCCAGCTTTATAATTTCTTCAAAACAATCTGATTTGTGGTTCAAATTAGTATTATTATGGGAGGAATGATTAGAAAATTATGACTGTGTAAAACCTCAGAGCCAGAAGTATGAAATATCCCTAGCTTACTGACATATATAATAAATAAAATCATAGCTATATATAAAGATGTGCTTGTGTTGGCCTGTCATTGCTATTACATTTGCTTTTACCTCCAGGGAGAAATTCCATGATTAGATAAAGGTTCCTCTTGTCTTGAAAACTGTAAAACATCTTCACCACCCAGGCACCATCTGCTTCTACTAAAATATCTCTTTCTGCTCGGATATGGGCCACCTGGATGAATGTATTTTGAAAAAATAATTGTAACATGTTACACATTTTTCAAGCTTACTTATTAACAATTACCATATTCTCATTAAATATGGAGAAATTCAGGAAACAGTTTATTTTAGCTGATATCTTCAGGTCTGAAAAGGTGGGATCACAAAAGGAAGCTGAGACTTTTGAGGTAGAAAAATGATTAGTCTAAAGATTTTCTAACCAGAATCTCCACCTAACCAAGGATCCTGGCTTTGTCATATAAATTTAGGGTCCCGGTCTGACTTTTATTAAAAGTTAAGTAGTGAGCAATGCCCTATAGATTGGTATGACAAAGTCAGGGTCCTCAACAAACTATTTTTAATTGTTACTAGTCCGACAAAGGGCCTGACTTGGCCTTTAACTGTTAGGTTGTTTTAAGAAGTTGAAACATTTACAATAATTTTATATTATTTTGTTATAATAAACCTTTATAATATCCATAAACATGATCTACAGTAAATTCTTATATAACTTTTTGAGATTTTGCTACTGACTTTTGCCAGACACATAATTACTACAGTTACTATTAAATGAACATTTTGGAGACTGAAAAACTTCATGAACTGAGTGATTTGTTCACTCAGTGAACAAATTGAGTGGTTGGGGTTGGTACAGTTAATTTTCCGACATTTGCCTACTGATACATTTATACATTTTTCTTCAAAAATTAATTAACAATAGAATAATTTGCTTTTATGCTTTTGCTATTTTCATTGTGTGCCATTATGAACTCTGGCCTAAAGCATATGAGGATACAGATTTTGTAAACCTTTTCTTTATAACAAAATATGCTCTGCTTAAAATAACTGAGGTTACTGTATTATGGTCTGATACAGTAAATGCTCTAAGATCAAAATCAAAGCACAAAAATAAACATTAAAAACTTGCTTTCTGGCATCAAAAAACTTAAAATTTCTTTGGACCTATTTCATACAGTAAAAAATTATATTGAAATTCCTACCTACCACCTTTTACAAAGCATTTTGAGATGGTAAAGGAAAAACGAACTCTGGTACTGCCTCTGGTGTTGTCAAGATAAACAACAACATCATAAACTTGGCTTGATTAATCATTTTTAAGTATCTTAAAGCCAGATTACAGGTATGTTTTCAAAATGGACCTAGGTTTCTAAAGCAGAGGAAATGACATCCACAGTAATCTGGAACCACAACAGTGGGGGGATATGTTAGTCGCTTCAGTCCTGTCCGACTCTTTGCGACCCCAAGGACTGTAGCCTGTCAGGTTCTTCTGTTCATGGAATTCTCCAGGCAAGAATACTGGAATGGGTTGCCATTTCCTTCTCCAGGGGATCTTCCCAAGCCAGGGATCAAACCTAGGTTTCACGCATTGTGGGCAGATGCTTTACTGTCTGAGCCAACAGGAAAGTGGAGAGATAAGTTGCTATTTAATTTTGCAGAGTGATAAAAACTTAAAATAATAATATATTAGAATTAAGTGGGAAAAGCATTTTCTAAAATGAAATTCAATGGTGACAAAAGCAAATTAATTTGTATATAGGAAAAAAAAACAACCCCAAAGTGCAAAAGAGACTTGATTTGATGTTGGACTACAGTGAAGATTCTCCTGCAAAAATTCTAGACCAGGGCTGTCCAACAGAAATAAATGCAAACCATGCATGTCATTTTAAGTTTTCTAGTAGCCACACAAAAGATAAAAAGAAATGGGTGGAATTATTTTTAACAATGTAACCCCCATATGTCCAAAATGTTATCATTTCAGCATGTAATCAACATAAAAATCATTGAGGTATTTATTTATACTCTTTTTTTGAGGGAGGGGACACCAAGTCTTCAAAATTTGGGAGGGCATTTTCCTTTTCACAGCATATTTCAGTTCAGACTAGCTACACTCAAGCCCAGCAGCCACATGTGGCCAGTTACCTAAAGACTACAGGCTAGAACTCACTTCTGCTTTAGTCTTTTCTCTAAAACTCAATCCAGGACTAATCCCATATGGCTTAGTTAGAAGTTTCCTGTTTATCTCCTAATCTTGGAGGCTCTACATCTTAACCCAGATGTTTATTTCCATCATTATCTGTAATTCTCTAACACATCTCAATATCTGACCTCCCTTGCCTTCTAACCTTTTCCTTGTAGATCAGCCTGTGTTCAACAAAACCCCTGTCACCACATCTCTGGACGTTCCTGTCACCTTCTCATCCTGAAAGCAGGCTGTCTGCAGAGAGTCCTGTCTTCCTGGAGAGTGAGAAGGCAGAAACAACCTGCTTTCCCTGTCTTCTCTACACTAGAAAACGACACCATGAAGCATCCCATTCCCAGGTACAACTCTGGGAATTATCCTTGGTTCTTCCCTCTTTCCTCACTATCCTTGCCCCTCCTCTGACTCCCAACACAGAGTAGGACACAGAAAATCCTGCTGGCTCTTCCATGAGGTCAGACACTTCGTCTGTGACTTTTCTTCCACTTCATTGTTGTAATCCTGTACTGTTGTACAGGGCTTCCCAGGTGGTGCTAGGTGTAAAGAACCTGCCTGCCAATGCAGTAGACATAAGAGACTCAGGTTCCATCCCTGGGTTGGGAAGATCCCCTGGAGGGAACGCAACCCACTCCCGTATTCTTGCCTGGAGAATCCCATGGACAGAGGAGCCTAGCGGGCTACAGTCCACAGGGTTGCAGAGTCGGACACGACTGAAGCAACTGACAAAGCATGCACCGTTGTGTAAGTCACAATCACATCCTGGCTGGCACGGCTACACAGTCTCTCAAGTGTTCTCCCGGCTCCAACTCTTGTTTGTCCTGCCTGCAAGCTAAGGGGCTGGTCCATCCTTGCCAAGCATCCAGCAGACATGTCAGTTCTTATCCAAGCAAAAGAGTGTCTTCCCACTGCTTCTGGAGGGGGACCCACACACCATTTCTCGACTATCAAGGCTCTGTGTGATCTGCTCCCTGCCTCCCTCTCCCGCTTCATCTCCCACCACTCTTCCCCTCCCTGAATTCTAGCCACAGTGGCTTCTTTCCATCTCTGAACAGACCAAGATTCTTTTTGTCACAGGGCCTCTGGATCTTCGTTCTACCTGATCATTAGGTCTCACTCTTTGTCGTCAATATTCTCTTTGCAGAGGACCTTCCCTCATCTAATTCCTTCTCCTAAAGCCAAGTCATCTGCATGACTTCATCCTTTTGTAAAGTCTATCTTCACAGTACTCAGCAGACATGACTATTTCAAACAGCTGTCTGCTCATTTTCCCCACAACTGTCAGTGAATAAGACTCAGGTTTTGCCTGTTAATCACTGTATTTCCAGAACCTAGAATAGTATTTGACACATTATAGGCACCTAATAAATACTTGTTGAATGAATGGAACAGAAATAAAGTGAAATAATGCAGTGAAAATTCAACTGGGCCATATTTAAATGAAAAATCAGTATCATACTGTTATGATAACAAAGTTAGTTTAGGTGGGACTAACAGTGCAGTTCAGCTTTAGGTCCAGGGAGGTACCATCTCCCTCTGCACCGTCACACTGTTGAGTCTTTCACTAGCATACATATTCACTCAGGATTCTAACAATGTCTACTCAGCTGGATGCATAAAATACTAGAACAACAACAACAATCGATGTCTTCAGATTCATGGTCACCCCAAAATTGCACCAAGTCACAGGAAAGATGGAGAGAGCTCAGGAGTACAAAACTGGAGGGGTTATAGAACTTGAGTGTTAGAGTGTTAGTCATTCAGTCGTCTCTGACTCTGTGACCCATGGACTGTAGCCCGCCAGGCTCCTCTGTCCATGGGATTCTCCAGGCAAGAATATGGGAGTGGGTAGCCATTCCCTTCCTGAGGGGATCTTCCTAACTCAGGGATCAAACTTGGGTCTCCTGCATTGCAGGCACATCTTTTACCATCCAAGCCACAAGAGGGGCCCTTTACAGATTTTGAAATATGTGTAATAAAATCAGCAAATTCTTAGGAGACTGGTTTGCTTATTTGATGGGTAATAGGGACTGAGAATGCTGAGAACTGTCCTTTATTTTTAGTGAAGTCAGAGAAGAAGGTATTTTGCTGTGAACTGAAGGCTCGTGTTCTCCCTGAAAATTCCTATGGTGATGCACTAAACCCCACTGTGACTGGATTTGGAGATGGCGTCCTCTAAGGAGGTAGGTTTAGCGAGGTCATAAGCAGGGAGGGAAGAGACCCCAGGGGGTCACTCTCTGCCCTCTGCACACACCAAGGAAAGGCTATGTGGGCACTTGGGGAGAAGGCTGCTGTGTGCAAGCCAGGAAGAGAGGTCTCACCAGCAATGAAACCCTGCCTTGCTCCGGGACTTCCAGCCTCCAGAGCTATGAGAAAAGAAATTTCTGTTGTTTAAGTCACCCAGTCTGTGGTATTTTGTTATGACAGCCTGAATACATAAGCTAGATTATGAATTTGGAAGAAATTTTAACCAGAGAGAAACAATGAAACAGGCTACCAAAAAATCTATAATCAATTAAATAGTAAGATGTGTAGGTTTCTCTTTCTTAAAAGTCCCAGTTTAAAAAAAAAAAGTCCCAGTTTTAACACTTACTCTAACACCACGCCAGCGGATGTTCTTTTGGTTACATGTGCTAAAGAGCTCTTACCTGCTCTTTTTCAAGCATATCAGCTTTTCTCAATATCTTCATTGCATAGATATGGCCTGTATCTTTCTTCTGGACCAGCCGCACCTTGAATGTAAAATTCATAGCACCAATTTCAGTCACTGCTATTTATTTAGGGGTGAAAGGGAGGCTCCTTTAAAGAAAGCAGTGCTGTAATTTGCTGTTGCTGGTTATTTTAGAAATTCTATTAAAATACAGCTACTTTAATACACATCTTACACTACTTACATATGAAGCTACTATCTTAAGATACATATTTTCAATAGCAGCGACTTTAAAAAAGAAGCACACCTCTCCAAACGCTCCTCTTCCTATAACTTTCAGAGACTCAAAGTCATCCAGGCCAAGTCTGGTCCGCTTGAGCCGTAAGAACTCTGTCTCCTTGCGAGCATGCTGTGATCGGCGTAACTTTTTCTATTAAAAAAGAACATTTTAGGAAGATGATTTCTAAAATCAGATTGTTTCAAAGGAAGCCTATAGTGTTAAAAGATGTGATATATTAAAATGAAGGTAACATATCTTAAATATTATATACTGGTGCTACAACTTATTTACCAAAGTTGAACATTCATTAAGCATGGAAAGGATAATTTTAAAAATCATTAAAAAAATTTTAGCAATTGATAAATCTTTATTTTTGAGACAGACTCCATTAAATATTTCATCTTAACAAGTCCACATATTCTTTCATCTATATGCTAACTTCATTCAAAAATAAAAATTAAACTTTAGGAAATGCTAATAGCATTCTTTATTTTTCTTTTGGCCGCATCGCACAGCATGTGGGATCTTAATTCCACAAACCAGGAATCAAACCTGTGCCCCCTGCATTGGAAAGCAGATTCTTAACTGCTGGACTACTGGGGGAAGTCCCCATAATTTCTGATATACATTTTTTACTGTTAACAAATCTACTAGGGAATTGTGTCAACTCCCTAATTTCCAAGGCTGCTCTCTCACAGCAGCTGCGACTTCCGACACTGAAATCACACAGCAGCAGTATTTCCATGCAGGCTTATTTATGGTAGAATTTGTTCTTGGGCAGATTTTTTAAATAAAGTGCTTAAGACTTGGCATATAACTTCTTAAAAATATGAAATTGCAACAACAAAAAAATAATTACACAAAGAATCCTTTAAAATATCCAAGTCAATAATTTCACAATTCATTACACAAAGATTACAAAAAATACTATTAAAGAAAAATTATGAACTACCTGAAGCTTACACTTGGAATAGGCATTTATTTAATTGTTTTAAACCTTGCTTTTCCTTCCCTTCATGAACCAAAATTCTGCTTTTTGACATAGAATTATGCCAAATTAGCTCAACCTAGTAGAGATCAAGGAGAAGGCAATGGCACCCCACTCCAGTACTCTTGCCTGGAAAATCCCCTGGACAGAGGAGCCTGGTAGGCTACAGTCCATGGGGTTGCTAAGAGTCGGACACGACTGAGCGAATTCACTTTCACTTTTCACTTTCACGCATTGGAGAAGGAAATGGCAACCCACTCCAGTGTTCTTGCCTGGAGAATCCCAGGGATGGGGGAGCCTGATGGGCTGCCGATTCTGGGGTCCCAGAGTCGGACACAACTGAAGTGACTTAGCAGCAGCAGCAGCAGAGATCACGCAAGACTCTTGAGAGTCCCTTGGACAGCAAGGAGATCAAACTAGTCAATCCTAAAGAAAATCAACCCTGAATGTTCACTGGAAGGACAGGTGCTGAAGCTGAAGCTCCAATACTTTGGCCACCTGATGTGAAGAGCTGACTCGCTGGGAAAGATTGAGGGCAGGAGGAGAAGCAGGCAGCAGAGGATGAGATGGTTGGATGGCATCACTGACTCGATGGACATGAACCTGAGCAAACTCCAGGAGATAGTGAAGGACACAGAAGACCTGGAGTGCTGCAGTCCATGGGGTTGCAAAGAGTTGGACACAACTTAACAATGGAAAAACACAACAGTAGAGATCACACAGAATGGGTAACAAACAAAATTAGTGAAAAAATCAAGCCCCAGTTCATCTTCAACTGAACCCTATCAAGCACGCAGAGGTTCAGGTCTGAGAAAGAAAGTCAAAACGACTGAGACGGTTCAGAAGCACTGTTCCTAAATGTAGTTCAAGATATAACCACTGAATAGCCCCTTCCTACGCCTGTGTGCAACTGTTTCCAAATTGGTAAAGTGAATTATTAATTAGAAATATGCAAGTATGCATCATCAACACAATGGAATTCTGATACTTCAAACAAAGTCTACAAAAATAAAATCAAGAAATTATGTCTTCAATCCAAACACCTTTAAACAGCTAAATGAAGTCACACCAGTGGTGGAAATAGTGAAGACCTTCTTTGTTTAAAAATGCCCTTTGAGTCAATAATACTGAAAAATGAATTATTACTAAAACAAAAGGATAGCTCAGTAGTAGCTTGTTATAAACGGACTCTAATTTTAAAAGGCCACACGGTGGCACTATAACACCATTTTTCAAAGAAGCAGCGACCCTTTTGGAAATTACATAAATGATTAAATATATGAATTCTGAAAGGCAGGCTGGATTTCTGGCTTTATGGATTTAACAATGTACAGCTGGATGCAGATTCAGAAATTGTCTAATCTGAATGGAAAAGACCTCATCACACAGTTTCATAAATTATGCTCAAAATCGACAGACAAGAGAGGCAGTCAAAGAAAGTAATGCTTATTACTATTTGACAGGTTGTATAGTATGGTAAGTAAACAATATTTATGTAGTCAGGAGAGAGCTATTAAATGGTGAAAAGGAGATAACAGTGTATGAAATATACAATCCTATGAAAAAGGGAAATCACCTATGACACTGTCATTGTACTTGAAAAACAAAAAAACCTATCCATAATATCAAAGTCCACATTGTAGTCCAAAGAGAGTTGAAACAAGTTCACATTTCTTAAAAAACTGATGAAAAAAGCATGTTGATATATCTGCTCACAATTTGTGTAAATCAAGTCATCTTGGAAAGCAAATAACATTGCAATCATATTTTTGGTAATCATATTCTTTCCTCTCAAAGACGACAACAGAAATCTATGGGCAGGCTTAACATTTCAAGGCTCTCTTGCAGCTTCAACTTGCGCAGTTTGGTTTTCCCTTACAGTAAATAATATTCCATGTTAGATAGGATTTAAAATGAGATGAAACTAGAAATATACCATTTTCTTTTTTTTCTCCATTCCTCTTCAAATGGGCGTTCCTCGAACGCTCATTTTGCAGGGTGCTCAGTTTTTGTAGAAGACAGTGTACACAGAAGTTTTAAGATATGGAATACATCAGGTAACAACTTCATCTCTTACAAATGCTTCTCATGGCCACATTATATATGGTTTAGTTTTCACAACTAACTTTCATAAACTACTTCACAGGTTAGTTGCTATTACAGAATGCATTAAGGATGAATTTATTTTTATAAAATAATTTTACTTTGAAAAGATCCACACCACATAAAGATAGTTCCAGCACACTGTACATTCGTTCAGAGACCATGTCTATTTGTGACAGGGTAGGGCTTAGCATGGGGCCCAACAAGAAGCATTGTTGGGGTTCTAATATCCTTACTGAAAATTTTAGATGTTTTATATTTATACATGGTTATTTTAGGCCACTGAGAACTTTTAGGGGTAAAATCACCTCACATTTTCTGTGAGTTATTTAAAGAGAATTAAAGAGAACAATTCTAGATGTACTTACCACCTCCTGGTGTGGACGAGAGGCTATCTCAACTCTTACATGCATTTGATTTGGCCCCTAAGTTGTTTTTAAATCATCCTAATAACTTGCCAATATTTTAAAAAGGCAAATGATTTCACACAAGTCCAGATTTCCGGCTTCTCCTGAAAAGCAGAATTTGGCTTCACTGGGCTAACAGGATAGCCCAGAAACCAGACCACCTCCATCCACCCGGTGCCAGACATGGGAAACCTGTACTATTAGGCTGGTGGTCTCGTTTTCTTTCAGCAAAGTGAAAAGTGGTATTCTTTATCAAAGGACAAATTGTGAGGAGAAATTCTTCAGAACAACAAAAAAAAAAAAAAAAAAGAATCTATTTCTTCATGGAAATGAAAAAAAAAGTGAATTAAATATGCAAAATATATTAGCTCAAAAGACTAAATGTCCCTAGGAAACCAATGTGGCCGGCTTCTCTTGTTTATGATACTTGCTTGGCCTTTGGACATCTGCTTTCATACAGTTCATTTTTAAAGTGCAATATTCTGCACATATTCATTACTTTGAACATACCTCTTAATAATCATGTAAATTCTACCTATTTCTTGAAGATTCAAATCAACTGTTAATTCTTCTGTGAAACCTTTTCTGATTCCCTGAACTAGGGAAAAAACCCTCCATATTTTCAAAGTTTGCCACATTCTATCATGTATACCTATTTGTATATGTACACACACGTAATCTCTCCTTCTAATCTATGAACTCTTTAGGGAGAGATCCACTGTCCATTTGTTCATTTATTTACCGAATATTTATCCCAGCCCTCTGCCAGCCTGGATCACATAATGCTGAATAGACATCTGGAGTTTCTACTCTGGGAAGATGGTTTTAAGGCTGCCCCAGGGACAAGAATAGTGTACTATCCCAGTGGACATGTTGCCTAGAAAGAGACAGAAAACATCGTGAAGAATAGTGGAACTCAGGCAGGCAGAAGGAAGAGTTCCAAGCAGCAGAGATGCACAGAAGAAAGTCTACATGCAGAAGCAAGGAAATGAAAATAATTCAATCCCGTTGGGCAGCCTGGCGGTGGGGTGACAAGAAATAAGGTGAGAGAAAGGGGAGCAAAGGCCAAATTATAAAGGGACTTGTATATCCACTCACGTAGAAGAGTTGGCCTTATCCCGAGAGAAGATGGGAGCCAGTGAAGGGTATTAAACAAGAGTGACTTGGTCAGATCTGGTTTTTGACAGGTAACCCTGGTTGCAGTGTGTAGGAAAACGGGGTGGGAACATGGCTGAGAACACAAGAGAGACTAGCTGGGGGCAGTGGATCTTCAGGAGAAACACATATTTACACCACTGGGTTCCTGGCACCAGACTAGTGAACCAGGTGGTTTTAAGAAACATGTGGGAAAATTTTAAAGAAGATTTGGCAATTAACTGATTCTTCCTGGAGCCCTCTTTTTCTTATTCCTCACACCTAGAATACTGTAGATACTATTCATTGAATATATGTTCTTAGAATTAAAAAAAAAAAAAGCTTCCCCCATTCAAACATTTCTATCATAGCAACAGAGTGAGAAGACCACATTCAAATATTAAACCCACATTATCTAAATTATAAGATCATGTGTGCATTCTAAGTCACTTCAGTCATGTCCAATTCTTTGTGACCCCATGGACTGTAACCTACCAGGCTCCTCCATCCATGGGATTTCCCAGGCAAGAATACTGGAGTGGGCTGCCATTCCCTTCTCCAGGGGATCTCCCTGACCCAGGGATCAAGCCCGTGTTCTCTTATGTCTCCTGCGCTGGCAGGAGGAATCTTTACCACTAGCGCTAATACTTGAAAAAGCCACTAGGATAGCTTTTGTACAGTTATTATAGTTTTCCCCTTTTTATTGAGAAACAATTGATACACAATATTGTGTAAGTTTAAGGTATACAATGTGGTGATTCCCCCCCCCCCCCCCCCCCCCCCCTCTGGCCATGCCACGTGATCCGCAGGATCTTAGTTCCTCAAAAAGGGATCAAACTCAGCAGTGGAAGCATGGGGTCCTAATCACCAGGGAATTTCCTACAATGCAATGACTTGATACAAGTGAATATATATTGTGAAATGTGGACCACAATAAAGTTGGTTAACACATCCATCACCTCACACAACTAAATGCTATTTTTTTTTGGTAGTGAGAGCATTTAAGATTTAGTGACTTTCAGGTATATAACAGAGGCATTAGTCATAGTAATTACAGCTTACATTACCTCTTCATCTGCTAATCCTTCTTCTTCCATAGCCACTTCTAATTTCTTCTGCCTTTTTAGAAGAAAAATTAATTTAAATTTAAATGTGTTCTTAAGTATTTCCATTTAACAAATGTACATTTATTTTTTCAAGTTTACACTTCAGTTTGCTATGCTAAAAAAAAATCAAGTTGAATCAAAATAATCACTGAAAAGAGTGATTTATATATATATATATATATATATATATATACTTCTTTTTCAAAATGTAAGCCCAGTCCAGATTTAGCTGTCTTATACTAGCCAAATGAGTAATTTACTTCCAAAGCTGCCTAAATGAATTGTCAGCAAAGGTGACTCGTGTTTTAACACGGAAAACTCTGCAATCTAATGTTCAAACCTCCAGTATCACTAACATTTATCAGTATTCATACTAGATGTATAAAAAGGTAACTACAGTGACTAAACGTACATTTTTAAGGTGGACATCCTTAGGCTTCCCCACACTTGAACTTTGGTTTTAACGCTTATTAGCTAAAGCTTGTCTGCATCTTTCACTTAACCTCTAAACTTGATTTTCCTAGTTAATCAAGGAAAGATGTTCAGTGCAATTAAGTATATTTGATTCTGCTATAATTCCTGGGAAATTGGAAAGTGATAAATGTGCATTAAAAAAATAACCCATTAACTACTAGAATGGTTGCTTTTCTAGGCATAGCCAAGTTCAGTTCTTCAATATTTTAAAATGTACCCTTGAAGTTACTTAAGCTACGGAGGGAGTAGGGGTGGGGTGAGGGGATGTGTGGTGTTGGTCAGTATGGACGAAATAACTGGTAACCAGACAGACAGCTGCAGTATCCACTTTGCAACTCATTTCCAAGTGACTATTACTATTTCATTTCTATTGTATTGCTTCTTTTTTTTCTAATGATAAATCTGGGAGAGCTTTTCCTCATTAGTTTTGCAGCATTCTAGAAAAAGACTAACTTTCAAAGATTTATCCATAAGGATTGAGGATTGAAACCATGATGTTTATGACAATATGCCCAAAGGGAAGCTCTTTCCTAAACCACTGTTAAGATCCTTTTTATTTCTTATGGAAAATTCATAACAAAAATATCAAAAGCCTGTTCATAAGTCAGCATGTCAAAGAATATTCTCCACTTACTTCCTCAATTCTAGTAATAAGCACCTACCTTGGTGCTAATCACACTGATTTTTATCTTTGGTTTACACATTATTGCCCGAGGCCAACCCTTTGAATGGACTAAGTTCCTGATACTGGACTCTGTGTCTGCCATCATGCCCCTCTAGACACCAGGGCTGCTTGGTGAATGATCTGAGTTTTCTTTTCTGCAGGAAGAATCCGGACAGTCAGAGGACCATTAACACAGGAGGGACTATCAGTACACAAACAACTTTATTCTTCTGTCAAATCCCTATGCTCGCCTTCTAAAGCCAACACTTCAGTAACTTATCTTTCCTTCTGGGGACAGATGCAAAAACTTTCATCTCTTTCCATACCTAAGTGAGAAGACCCACAGGCTTCTCTTGTCACTTCTTAAAACATAGTTTCCTCCTGAAATGATCTTAAGCTTTGTACTGATTGATACTTTATTTGGCTTATGCATTTATCCAATTAATTAAGCCTGAAAAATCCATCACATGTTCCTTAAAGTACAAGTTTTTAGAAAACATGAGCTATTTAATTTGACTTCCATGGCACTTACCATGTTTGTTGTTTTTTTTTTTAATTTTTTTATCCCTATTTTCTTTTGTTTGGGAACAGAAGGCAAAACTGAGTTACTTTAAGGTTTCAGCAATAAATGGCAGTAATGAACCTTTAAGATTCTCATGAATTTTAAGCCAGCACTGACTTCTTTCTCTCACCTTCCTTATCTGGGTAGCTGCCATGTTTTTCCCATCTTTCTCACTGAGAAAGATGGTAATTTAAGTGACCATTGAAAAAATATAGGACTTTCCTTCCTTGGTCCTCTTTTACTTCATTCAGTCTCCCTTGATGATCTGATCACTTTCAGACTTTCACTATATTTACAATTATGGTAATTTCTTATATGCTTTATTTCTAACTTATGGTGCGGTTTCTACTTGTGCTTACTTTTAGGTATTTCAGTTTTTCTTTTTCCCTTGCTTTCTTCTGAACTTATTTTTCCCCTAGCTCTTTTTTTCCTTCTATTAGTTTGAAAGTTACAAACTAACTTTGTTCTTTTAGTGGCCACCCTAGAAATTATTTCTTAATTTGCCAAGGCTTGAAATTAATCAATCTTTACCCCTTTCTATGTTGTATCCCTATCCTTAGGAAACACTGATCTTCCCTCCTGATAGTCTACTGTTGAAAAATAGTTTCGTTCTATTCTTTAAAATATCTAAGATATTACCATTACTGTTGAAGTTTTCTTATACAGTCCATTTTGGCTGATATTTACCTACATATTTACAGTTAGATCCTCTGAGTGTGCTCACTTGCCTTCTGCCTAAATTGAATCTTTTGGAATTTCTGCTGATGGTGAAGTCAGTTTAACTCACCTCTGTTCCATTCTCTTTCCTCTTTTCCTCTAGGAATTTGGATCAAAGACACATTTACTCTCCTCACTAGTCTCCACCTTTCTTAGCTCTCTTTTATATTTCCTTCCTCTAAGCTGACTTCTGAACAGTCACTTGAGTTTCACTTTCCAGTTCTGTACTCTCCCCAGCATGTCTAATCTGTAGTTAGACCCACCCAAAATTACATCCCAAACCAGATTCTTCCCCTCGAGTTCTACTTCACTAAGTTATACCACACTCTGTTGGCCCAGGTGTGAAATGTCAGAGCCAGCACTGACTTCTTTCTCTCACCTTCCCTATCTGGGTAGCTGCCATGTTCTTCCCATTTTTCTCACTGAGTTCTTCCCTACTGTTGCTGTCACAAGCCTAAAGCTAGCCTCCTTTCCACTGGCCGGGACTACATCCTTTCCTGTTTCTAATTTCTCCTGCCACAATCCATTCTGTACAACACAACAAAAGTGGTCTTCCAGAGACGCACCTGTGATCATTTAGATCTTCTGTTGAAAATTTTTCAAGGCTCTTTACTAGCATGAGAATAGCTTTGATCTGAAGCGCCCAAGGCTCCCAGGAAATGGTAAAAACCTAGCTGGAGTTAAACTGGACAGTGCCTGACCTGGGAGGTGCTTTCCCCGGTCTCCGGGATGCCCCCGCCTGCTTGTTAACCTCTCCCTTCTCCCTTTCATGCATATTGAATAGTGCTCTTCCTTAGGGCTCTGTTCAAATGCCACCAGCCTCGACAAAGCCTTCCCAGCTGCCTTTGTCAAAAACAACCTCTCCTTTCTTCACCTTCTCAAAGGGCATACTTTTCACCCTTTCATATAATATTCATGTGCATTATCTTCCTTACTGTAAGTTTTCTGAAAGCAAAATAACATCAATTTTTAAAAAAATTCTCTCATTCCCACCTATATACACACAACACTACAAATGTTTCTGGATTAAAAGCAGTCATTCGTTAGTTAGCTCTTTAAAAGAAAGTTTTTGAAAACAAAGTATAAAGATATAATCTCATGGAAAGAAACATTTTGTTTAAAACATCAATTAACATGAGATATAAGTATATTGGTGCCAGGACAAGACACTATTCTGTGAAGGTAAAACAAGTAACCAAGCACACTGTCATTTTATGGGAAACTTAAAATAAGCATTCAAGGATCTGCAATATTTATATTATTAACAGACAACATGTTTACATCCCACTTGTAATATGATAGCTTATTTAACTACACAGTAAAATCTGACCAGCCCTTACTATACCTGGTCTCTCTCTCTTCATGCTGTAAAATTAGGTTGCTGTAAAAATTCTCCAATGTGAGCTTGGCCACAGTCACTCTTTCCCGGGTATGGTTGCTCATCGGAAAGGTGGTTGTCGACCCTGCCGTCATTGCCATAGTAACAGAAACTAGAATGACACAGAGATACAAATTATTTCACAGGAAAAGAAAACTTTCTAAAAAAAAAAAAGAAAACTTTCTATCTCTTTTTAATAAACTCTAGAAATGGTCTGATTTCTACTAGGCAACAACATTGTACCCTAACAGCTATAGGGTTATAACTTCTTTCACATTATAAGTAACATAATATAATAAAGAAATACAGTATTCAGTAAATATAGCAAAGAAAGAGAAAGATATACCATTCCGAAAGCAACAGAAATGAATTCTGTGCTGGCAGGTGAAAATCACACTAAAGGAGCACCTGCAGCAGTTCACACACAACATGAACACATTCACATACACATTCACCAGTCGTTCAAAACAAGAAGGGTTCGATCAATTTTGTGGCTGTCCTACTGATGACTAAATAAAATCCACAAGATTTTGCTAATGCTTATGACCCAATAAACACACATCTCCAAAAGAGTTAACAAAGTTTAGTTAAATAGCAAGAAGTAGTTTCTGCCATATAAATTCTATGAATCAAGTAGTGTTACATCAAATATGCACATGAACATCTGTCAGAGCAATTCTTATGGATATTATGTTTTAGGGAAAAACTACTTTTAGAAGCAAACCCCTTTGGCCACGTTGCATAGCATGTGGGATCTAAATTCCCTGACTTGTGCCCCCTGCAGTGGAAGTGCAGGCTTAACCAAGGATGCCCCAGAAACAAGCCCCTCTGAATGGAGTCCATGGATGCCCTATTTCATCCTGAATCCTAAGTCATTCCAAATAGTGCTAGGTCAAAGTCTAGTGCCCTACTCCAACTGGTAGGTCCATTTCATTTTCAGATGAAACTCAAATGCCTGTAGGAACCAGGCAGGAAACAAAAACATATGAATCAAGTCAGGAGACAACAGAGAAGTTCTGTGATCTTTCCTGGACAATGTTTGTTTAAAGTCATTCAGGTACCAATTTTTAAAAACCATTGGGCCAGCCAAGCAAAGTACTGGTTTAAAGAAGATAATGTAAAGACTTCCCGGGAGTTCCAGTGGTGAAGACTCCATGCTTCCACTGCAAGGGGCACAGGTTTGGTCCCTGGTTGGGGAACTAAGATCCCACATGCCATGTGGCATGGCCAAAAAACAAACAAACAACAACAACAAAAGCCAAGAAGGAGAAGATAAGGTAGATAATTAGACAAGATAAGGAATGTTAAGACTGAACTCTGGTGGCTGCTATAGGTGGGCACCGACCCTAGAGACTTGCCCACCAGAGTCCACATCTAGACCCCACCGCTCTCCGCTCAAAAAAACCCCAAAACAAAAAACCTAGAATGGCTCCATACATTAAAGAGTCTTTTGCTTATCTAGATGGGAGATCATAACGGTCCATACTAGAGAAGATCCAGATTGCCAGTGTAACTATCCAACGTTGCATTATTAGCTAAAAGTATTCTCCCAAATCTGCCACCTACCCCCAACACCAACCTCTCCTTAACTAACTACATCAAGACACAGAGCCCTGGATATAGACCTGAACTGGACTACACTCCAGGGATCTCGTTCTTCATGTGAAACAAGTCTTACACAGGTTGAAAGTAAACAATTTAATTATGGCAAACTCCCAGTTTCACTGTTGTCTTAGTGAGTTTATACATCAATTTACTGCTTGAACCTCATTATGTCTAAAATTGCACTTATTATTTTAACATCATAAACTTGTTTCTCTGCTGGCCACTCTAAATCTTTTTATAACAAGAGGCTGATCACATTACTTGTTTAAAATGGTTCATGGCAAGTCAAATGAGCTCAGCAAGACAAATAAGGACAACGCATACACAGACTGCTGGTGTCTATCAGAAACTTTATGAGGGTTTATTCATTGGTTTCCCCCTTTGTGCCTGAGGCTTTAAGACCATGGCACTCCCAAGCAGGACTGCATTTCTTCCCCACAACAGCCCAGTAAAGAAAGGAACTGAAAGTTGGGAAAGTCAGATGGTGAGCTTCGGAGGCCCACCCCACCCGAATGCTGTTTCCTATCTGCCTTTCTGGCCTCATGTGCTGCCCTTCCTCACCACTCACTTGGCCTTTTCACGCCTCCAAGCCCTGGCATGACCTATTCCTGAACCAGTTCTGTGCTACGATCTATCTACAGGGCTACCGCGGATCCGTCACAGCGCAGTGTGACAGAAGCCTTACTGTGGGGACTTCTCTAAGGCTCCCTGCCAGGAAAGACATCAATTTACCAGAAGAGACCAAATGGCATTATTTCAAGTGTGCTCTCTGCCATGTGTAACAAATACCCCAGGTACAAGCGCTGATCACGTCATCTGCCTATCCAACTAAACTCGGAGCACTTCTGGGCAAGAACTTGCCCTGAATTGTTCTTGAGCGTTCACCTTGATAGCACTGTATTGGACTCAGAGTAGGTATTACTGAATGAAATGAGTCCACAAATGGGAGATAGGGTGAAAGGAGAGTTGAAAAAATTAGCAAAACTTGCCTGTAAAGGGTGGCAACTGTGGAAAAAGAAACGTATTGAACCTTGGAGTCAGATATTTAGAGATCTAATCCAGGTTCTGCTGCTAAATGATCACATGAAAGTGAAAAAGTGAAAGTGAAGTTACTCAGTTGTGTCTGACTCTTTGTGACCCCATGGACTATAGCCTACCAGGCTCCTCTGTCCATGGGATTTTCCAGGCAAGTGTACTGCAGTGGGTTGCCATTCCCTTCTCCAGGGGATCTTCCTGACTCAGGGATTGAACCCAGGTCTCCTGCACTGCAGGCAGACGCTTTACCCTCTGAGCCACCAGGGTCCTATTCAAACCACCACAACGCTCTGAACTCAGGTCAGTTTCCCCTCTGACCCAGGAATTACAGTACTTGCTCGGCTAGCTCACAGGCCCAGTCTAAGGCCATCTGAGATAATACAACATAGAAATTACACAAATGTAAGACATTATTTAGGCATTTAGCTTAACTTTTTAATGTGCTTTAATAATAGTGAGCGTTATTTTTGGAACAACAATAAAATGAGCTCAAGAATTATCCCGGCCAAGTGATTTTTGAGCACTAGGCTTGGAACGGTTTCCCAGGTGGCTCAGTGATAAAGAATCCAACTGCCATGGAGGAGAAGTAGATTCGATCCCTGGGTAGGAGAGATCCTCTGGAGGAGGAAATGGCAACCCATTCGAGTACTCTTGCCTGGAAAATTCTATGGACAGAGCAGTCTGGCAGGCTGTAGTCCACAGGGTCGAAAAGAGTCGGACACGACTGAACATGATGACAAAACTTGGAACGCTACCTAAGGCAATGCTGCCACATTATCTTTGGAGATCTCAGAAACTGGGTTCATGTTCTGTGTTCTAGGATCAGATGCAGAGAGGTCAAGAAAGGACAAGGGGGGATGGCATAGTACAGAGCAGACACGCCCAGTCACGTTTGCTAACTGGCACCAGGGGACCTGGTGAGGAAGAGGGGAGCTGGGAGGTCGGCTGGACGCGGAAGAAGTCAAGTAAATTTAGGAAATCTAGATATACAAAGTTTCTTACTGTATGACTTCCCATTACATTGCACTGTTAATGGAATAATATGTATCCTAAACCCTCAAAAAGGCGGGTAGGTAGACATTTGAGCAGTATCCGAGGGAACTCCCTTTAGGCATATAAATTTTAAGTTTATGGACAGTTATCTTCAAACATTGGTTTTAAAAAGTGCCTGTTACTTTTTTAAATATTTGGCGGTGGGGGTGGGGGGGGAGACTTAGAAACTCCAACAAAGAGCAATATCTAGAAATTTTAAGAGTGCTTTCTGATTTGTCCAGAATATCTGTAGCTGACAGGAGAATTTTCAAATTGGTTTGCCAATTGGCAGGAGGAGAAAAGGTCAAGACTCAACTATAAACTAAGGTTTATAGTTTCCTTTCAAAAAGTTAATGGTGAAAAAACTAATAAATAAAACCTTTTGTAATGCCCCTTGAAAAAGCAGAAAGAAATAACACATCAGTAATGCTCCCAGGTGGCTGGGAGGTAAAGAATCTGCCTGTCAATGCAGGAGATACAGCAGATGCGGGTTTGGTCCCTGGGTTGGGAAGATTCTCTGCAGGAGGAAATGGCAACCCACTCCAGTGTTCTTGCCTGGGAAATCCCATGGACGGAGGGGGCTGGCGGAGCTACAGTCCATGGGGTCACAAAGAGGTGGACACGACTTAGTGACTAAACAACATAAATGCTTTTAGAAGTCAGAAAGAAGGATACATAATGAACTCAGGGTGTGGCAGCTGACAGGCTGCCAAAGGGCCTCGCGAAACAGGTTGCTCTGCTCTGTCGGCCAAGGAGCAGGGTCTGGTCTTCAGCTGCCAGTGTTCCAGGGCAATCAGATTATGGAGCTACTTTATCCTCACAAAGTTCAAAAGAGACTGATAAACAAGACATGATGGCAATTTATGGATTTACACAATAAGAAACTGAGGAACAAGAAACAGAAAACTTGCATGTTTTGGCAAATGCACTCTGTTTTTGTAGGCAAGTTAGATGTAAAGACCAAAGAAGGCTGGTGAGCATGGCATCAAAACAGAGAATTGTTTATATTCAACTGTTTAATGGCATAAGGAGAAAGTGGAATCTTTAAAAAAAAAAAAAAGATTGACCATTATCTTGCCCAGGACACCTCTGCCCATTCAAAGTGGCAGGAGGAGACGGCCAATATTAAGCCCTATTGCTGTCAGGGCTTTCCCAGATGATGCAAAACTAGGGGGCTAGGAGTGGGCAGAAATATTACTGAGCAAAATTTGGGGGGGAAATTTCTGTGAAACATAAAGAAGTTGGGGTGCTAAAAACAACTCCAAACCACAGAAAGTGTTTGCATGAGCATTGCAGAAAAAATGTGAGCCAGTTTTAGATAAAGATTTACGAACCTGAAGTCTTTATGAAAGAGGCATAAACATGAAAAGAAGAGAAGGATTCTTCCATAGAAAGATGAAATGAACTTCTAACTCCAAAATCCAGAAGGGATATAGAGTGATGAAAAGCGACTTACAAACACTATATAATTTAACCATGATCACCATGGTTTTTCCATTCAAATTATACATACATGTAAGTGTATGCCTTGTTTAAAAGCCTAATCAGAGCAAAACCTATGCCTGTTCATCTCTGTAACAAAATAACAGCACCTGGCAAAGTGCTGAGCACACAGTCTGCATTCTATAAATGATGATGAGTAACTGAACTCAAAATTAATGGATTT